TAAATGTGAATAAAGTCTGGTTTCCGTAGCTTCAGCTAGTTTTGGCTAATTAGCGCCAACGAGTTTCTCACACTTGCTCTCATTATTTTTATTGTTCCACCAGCTGCTCATCAGTTAAATATTGTACAAAAATAAAACGTATGTTGATTCCTTCCATGGCTGCCATGACAACATGTGATGTGATGAACTTGTGACTTTGATGTTTTTATGAATTCAGAGGAAACAGGAACATGATGAGCTTCCACGTCCTGATCTCAGTCCCTCTGGATCACATGAAGAAGACACTGAAGAACTGCAGCGAGCTGTCAGAGATGCTTCATGACAGAAATCACAACATTGTCAAATATAAAGAGGAGAGAAGCAGCACAGGAAGACACATTATCTGTGGTGCTGCTTCATTTCAAATCAAACACATCTTCACAGTCTGATGATGATTTCTTGCAGGTGTGTGAAGGTACCAAACAGTTTCCTCCTGAACGAAGTGCTGCTGTCATCAGTGTCATTTTAATGTGCCTCGACTGAAACGCACAAACAGGAATAAATACAGTTATCACTGAAGCAGAAGAACAGAAGTTCAGCCTGGTGGCAGCAGCAACAGCTATGGTCTCTTTGTTTTGTCACAATAAGAATCATTTCAGATGCAGAGACGTCCGGATGATCATTACATGGTACCAAACATAAATATGAGCTCCACAAACCAATCCTGTGAAACAACAGACGCATCGTGAAGCTTTAGAAAACACTGCTGGCTGCTCTTTGCCTCCATAAAGTGTGGTCTCCTTCATTCTATAAAAACAAAGACACTCTAAGGTGGTAAAAATCAAAGCCTGTTTAAAGGACCGTCCTGCTCTCACACACTCCTGATGATCAGTCTGAGCGGCTGCACTCCGACCAATGTTTTCATCTGATCATCCAGCAGCTCCTCCCTGATGACCACCTGACTGGTTCACCACACCTCAACCTGCTTGTGTTTCTTAAAGGGTGTCGTGTCCACGATGTTGTTGCTGAAGAGTCTGAAAAGCAGCAAAGCAGAGAGCAGATGTCACGGTCGAGGAAGAGCAGCATCAGTTCAGCTCGTCCGTCGGCTGGTTTCTCTGCGAGCCTCTGAGCTTCTCTGAACTGACTGATGAAGGTTTGCTCACCGCACGGCGTCGATGGACGAGTCCACGGAGAGCAGCTGCAGCAACACATCTGTGGAAGCATCTGTGATGTGGTTGTGGCTCAGACTGCAACACAAACACAACAAGTGACACACATTTATCCCTCCACATGATGTGATGACAGGCTGAGAGAAAGTAAAAGCAGCAGATCAGTCAATGAAAAGGAAGGAAAGTCAGAGAGTGTTTTTATGGGACACGTTCTTGTGAACACAGCTTCACTGAGCAGATATAATGTTCCCCTAAAATGAGTTTGTTCACGTCACATTCTCTCTCCTGGATTGTAAATACATCACCATGTGCCAGTGAAGCTGTGTCTGGGTTCATGGAGAACACTGTGAATATACTTGAGTTAAAGTCCTGCATCTGAACAATGTGAACCTTCAGCCTGCTGCTGCTGCTGCTTTAACAGGCGGGAGATCTTCAACAGCACAGCCGACAGCACAGCATTGATCAGAGGCACCAAGTGGAACAAACTCCAAGAATCCTCACACCTGAAACTCTGACTCATGATGTGTGGTTCCATCCAGAAAAGGAAGCAAATCTAAACTTAACATCACAACAATTAATCA